GCGGCCTGGAGGGCCCACGGCGGCAGGAGGCGGCTCCAGCGGCCTCCCCTCGGAGCGGAGCGGGGAGGTGGGGGGCAGCCCGCCCCTGCCCCATCTTACGCACACAGACACCCCCCGCAGGAGCGCGTACGCCCGGTGGGCCGGCGGGGTGCGTGGTTTAAATGCCCCGTGTTTATAAACACAGGTGTGCGGAGGCAGTGTAGAAGCGTGTGGCGCGTATTTCCTCTATGCTACGTATGCGATACAGAAGTATTTTTGAATACCCGAAACAGAGGCTTCTTTGGTCGCAGTTTGTTAGGGAGGGGTGGGAGGGCTGGTGGGACAGCGGCTGGGGTTTTGGAGCAAGCGTTGCGGCCACCACCGAGTTTTTTTCCATCAACACCACCGTCCCTCCAGCAAATACCCAGTTTCTGCTCTTTTGCACCCTTGCTCGGCCAGAAGCAGGCCCTCCGTCCCGGTACCCCCTGCTCACCTCTGAAGTGCAGGGTGTTGTACCTCTCTGCGGGCACCCAGGGTGTATAAATCTTGCCAAAAAAACGGGCCCCAGTGCTTTAGTTAAGACTCTCCTCAACACCTAGCAAAACTCACTCATCTGTTTTGGCATCCAGTTCTAAAATATTGATGCAAATTGACTTAGATATATCGGTTTAAATGCATGTTGAGTTCTGTCTTTAGTAAAAGGTGTTTCGGGAGGGAGAAGGCAAGTTATAGCTAGAGTATACGTGGTGCAGTACTAATATTAAATAACAAAGGGAGGCAGAAGAATTGCACAGTATTACATATTGTGAAGCAGATCTTTTGGCCTTTTGTCCAGGAACAAGTTATGTTGGGATTAAAATACCTGTGATGCTATTGTTTTTGTATGTTATCTGTCTTATTAGTCTTCAATAGCTCAGTTAAAATATGTTTCCTATGAGAAAAATACTATAATACCATTGGATAAAAGTGGAACAGTAGAATATTTTATCTGAATTCATAACTCACTGAGATGCATCAATTTAAACTGCAGCAAATTTTGGCAAAAATTTGGCAAGGGCTTTTCCTCCCTCAGGTTTCAAACATATATTTCAATAAGAACAAACAAAGACAACATTAAAAGAAGATGGAAGTCCCAGTCAAGCCTTCAAACCAAATGGCATTCAGAATAAATGCTTGCAATGTCAAATATTCAAAATAAATCTCATCTTTAAATCTGGCTCTGCAGCTTCTGAATAGTCATTGTGACATTTACTCATATCATCACATACTAGTATTTCCTGCAGAAATGCTAGTGAAGGTGCCTGACTTCTGTATGTCACTTTCATGTGTGATATATATTGCCCAGTTATTTTGAGATATATACACACCATGTGTACACATACATCTCATACATGGAATCATTCCCGTTCCTCTGATATTTACCTTGACATGATCCATCTCTGCTGCATTCTTTTGAAATAAGTTGACTTGTACAGAACATAGACAAGGGCACATCTCATCTCATCTTGTCTTTCCGAAGCTATTTCACTTTCAGATAGTTTTCCTACCTAATTCTTGTCATTTTTCTCTTGATAATTAAAGCTCAACCCTTGAATTTGATCTTTGCGACACTGTTCCTGAGGGGGTTTTTTGTTACTGTAAAAATTGCAGAATGAAAGAAAGAAAACTGAGATAACAAATGGTCAGTTTTCATATGCTACTCATTCCTTTAGTGCTCTGTCACTTAGCTGGTAACAAGATTTTGGCCCTAGAGATGACAGCAGTGCTATGTTATTGGCAGATATTAGAACCGTAAATATTTTCAGAACAGCTTCTCCTGATTTGGTGTAGCACTTGTGATTTGTTTGCTCCAGCATAAGAAAAATGAATTTTGACTGCCCACTGAGCAGGAGAGAGAAACTGAGACAATAATGTTTAGAGAAAAATAATCTTAGCTCAAGGTTTATATTTTTTGTGAACACAGAAGGACTTTTGGCTGTTGTGATGGTTGGAGGCCACCTTGGGCATAGCAATCTTGACATGGTAAGAGTTTTCAATTCTCAGAGAAGTAAGGAGGCTGGTTAGCAGAACTGCTACCTCGGACTTCTAGAGGGCAGACTTTGGCCTGTATAGGGGTCTGGTTGACAGACTCTTTTGGGAGGCAGTTTTGAAGGGCAAAGGAATCCAGGAAGGCTGGAAATGCTTCAAGAAGGAAATTTTAAAAGTGTAGGAGCAGGCCGTCCCCATGTTCCAAAAGACAAGCTGGCAGGGAGGAACAGCCTGGCTGAACAGAGAGCTTGGGCTGCAACTCAGGGGAAAAAGAGAGTTTATGACCTTTGGAAGAAGGGGCAGGCAACTCAGGAGGACTACAAAGATGTCATGAGGTTATGCAGAAAGAAAATTAGAAGGGCTAAAGCCCAACTAGAACTTGATTTGGCTACTGCCAGGGGAAAAAGAGAGTTTATGACCTTTGGAAGAAGGGGCAGGCAACTCAGGAGGACTACAAAGATGTCATGAGGTTATGCAGAAAGAAAATTAGAAGGGCTAAAGCCCAACTAGAACTTGATTTGGCTACTGCCATAAAAGGCAATTAAAAATGTTTCTATAAATACATTAGCAACAAAAGGAAAGCTAAGCTGAATCTCCATCCTTTATTGTATGCAAGGGGAAACACAGTGACAAAGAATGAGGAAAAAGTAAGGTACTAATTGCCCTCTTTGCCTCAGTCTTTAATAGTAAGACCAGTTATTCTCAGGTTACCCAGCCTGCTGAGCTGGAAGGTAGAGACAGGGAGCAGAATGAAGCCCCCATAATCCAAGGGGAAATTGTTAGTGACCTGCTACACCACTCAGACACAAACAAATCTATGGGGCTGGATGGGATCCACCTAAGGTTACTGAGGGAGCTGGCGAAAGTGCTCACGTAGCCATTTTTCATCATTTATCAGCAGTCCTGGCTAACTGGGGAGGTCCCAGTTGACTGGAGGTTAGCAAATGTGACGCTCATCTCCAGGAAGGGCCAGCAAGATGATCCGGGGAACTACAGGCCTGCCAGTCTGACCTCAGTGCCAGGAAAAGTTATGGAGCAGATCATCTCGCGTGCCACCACACAGCACGTGCAGGACAATCAGATGATCAGGCCCAGTCAGCATGGGTTTATGAAAAGTGAGTCCTGCTTGACAAACCTGACCACACTCTATGATAACGTGACCACCTGCTTAGTGATCAAAGAAAAGGCGGTGGATACTGTTTACCTGGTCTTTAGTGAAGCTTTTGGCACCATTTCCCACAGCATTCTCCAGGAGAAACTGGCTGCTCGTGGCTTGGATGGGTGCACCCTTTGCTGGGTAAAAAACGGGTTGGAGTGCCGGGCCCAAGTAGTTGTGGTGAATGGAGTAAAACCCATCACAAGTGGTGTTCCCCAGGGTTCAGTATTGGGGTGTCTGAGTCAACACAGGCAGGATGCAGGAACAACCACAAGATTACAGATGAAAGGCAAAGAATAAATTTAATCTTGATACCTCATGGACCAGGGAATCTCCAAAACAACACCTGGGCAGAGGCACACTAGCAGGGGATGGAGGCACCATGGATGAAGAGAGAGTCATTGGCGGGACAGCCCTTGTTAGCAAAAGAGTGAGAGAGCAAGGGTTCAGACTTGCTGTTCTTGGCTTTATTTTAAGGACCCAAACAAGTGGTGTTCCCCAGGGTTCAGTATTGGGGTGTCTGAGTCAACACAGGCAGGATGCAGGAACAACCACAAGATTACAGATGAAAGGCAAAGAATAAATTTAATCTTGATACCTCATGGACCAGGGAATCTCCAAAACAACACCTGGGCAGAGGCACACTAGCAGGGGATGGAGGCACCATGGATGAAGAGAGAGTCATTGGCGGGACAGCCCTTGTTAGCAAAAGAGTGAGAGAGCAAGGGTTCAGACTTGCTGTTCTTGGCTTTATTTTAAGGACCCAAACAGGCATAGTTTTTCACTGTGCTTTGATCTTCTTCAGCAGCAGGGCAGGAATCTCAGGCATGGTTGGTAAGTTCATCCATAGGTCTATGTTATCTAAGTGCAGATGTTCCACTTGTAGAGCACGTAAAACTAAACAACAATTAAAGTGAAATATGTGTTTTCTAGCACCCAATGTGCAAGTCACTTGAGCATGTTTACAGTCCTCCTCGCTGATCTGCCATTACTTTTGCATGGGGCCAGTTCTGTTAGCGTCTTTATCAATGACCTGTACAAGGGGGTTGAGTGCACCCTCAATAAATTTGCAGCTGACACCAAGTTGGTTAGGAGTATTGATCAGCTTGAGGGTAGGAAGGCTCTATAGAGGGGTCTGGATAGGCTGGATTGATGGGCTGAGGCCAATGGGATGAGGTTCAACAAGACCAAGTGCCGGGTCCTGCGCTTAAGTCACAACAACCCCATGCAGCCCTACAGGCTTGGGGAAGAGTGGCTGGAGAGCTGCCTGGCAGAAAACAACCTGGACAACGGCTGGATGAATATGAGCTGGTAGTGTGCCCACGTGGCCAAGAAGGTCAACAGCGTCCTGGCCTGTATCAGGAATAGCGTGGTGAGTAGGAGTAGGGAAGTGATTGTCCCCCTGTACTTGGCACTGGTGAGACCCCACCTCGAATACTGTGTTCCTTTTTGGGTCCCTCACTACAAGAAAGACATTGAGGTGCTGGAGCCTGTCCAAAGAAGAGCAATGAAGTTGGTAAAGGGTCTAGAGAACAAGTCTTATGAGGAGCAGCTGAGGCAACTGGGATTGTTTAGCCTGGAGAAAAGGATGCTGTTGGGAGACCTTATTGCTCTCCAGAACTACCTGAGAGGAGGCTGTAGCAAGGTGACTGTCGGTCTCTTCTCCTGAGTAATAGGCAATAGGACAAGACGAAATGGCCTCAAGTTGTGCCAAGGGAGGTTTAGACTGATATTAGGGAAAAATTCTTCCCCCCAAAGGTTATCAAGCATTGAAACAGGCTGCCCAGGGAAGTGGTTGAGTCACCATCCTTGGAGGTCTTTAAAAGATGTGCAGATCATGACTTATTGGTGGGCTTGGTAGTGTTAGGCTAATGGTTAGGCTTAGTGATCTTAAGGGTCTTTTACAACCAAAACGATTCTATGAGTCTATGATTTTGTGTCATCTCAGTTGTGAATGCTGTTTAGGAACTGAGTCAGTGTTCATAGCTTGTTTGTAGACATTGCAAATCTGAACTTACCTGTAAAGCTGTTGAATAGTTATGCTCCATTTGTAGTAGAGCTAAGTCAGCAAATCCTTTCTGCTATTCTAGTTAAGTGTTTTCTGGTTATAATTTAGGAAAGAGTATTCCCCACACTCCCACCCTACTTCCCTTCTTGCAGTTGATGTGGCCATGCTGCCAAAAAGTGTATATCAAGCATAGAAAATTGGAGAATTTCATTATGGGTGCATAAATGAATGTTTGCATGATGATTTGTTTGCGTTCTCTTAAAAAACACAGCATGGTGTAAATAAATCAGGTAAAATGCATTAAAGCACGTTATTAACTAGACATTGT